CTGATACTCATGATACGTAAAGGGCTTGAACTGATACACATGATACGTAAAGGGCTTGAACTGATACTCATGATACGTAAAGGGCTTGAACTGATACTCATGATACGTAAAGGGCTTGAACTGATACACATGATACGTAAAGGGCTTGAACTGATACACATGATACGTAAAGGGCTTGAACTGATACACATGATACGTAAAGGGCTTGAGCTGAAACACATGATGCGAATACCAGATTTTAATATGTACTATTTGCACTACTATGTAAACGCACTACTTCGCGTAGTGCGCTTGCCCATATATTGTTGCGAGATCTGCCATTAGATAGAGAGGAATTATTTCAAATCATCAAAGATAGGCTAACGAAAGAAGATTACTTTACTATCCTTAAACGAGTGAAATAAAACATTTAAATACTGCCTAGATTGTTAGACCTTGAATTAGGCGTTGATCAAGAAACAGTTCAAGCAATGTTTGGAGAGGCTGTAATATCTGAATTTCAGAAAGCTGTATTTTTACTATAAAATCAATTTACAGATATTGTTTTTTTTAATTAAAGCAGATATATCATCTAATATAAACGCATCAGAGGATTTGATTGACATGCTCCACTTCTATGATGAGCTGCCTTTTGATAGTAATGATGATAATGCTGCACTGAGAGATTTACTATTTACTATTTAATGTAAGGTGATCTGAGTGCACTAGAGAGTCATTGGCTCCCTGACTTATTTTCTGGTATTGACGCATCATCAGATGTTGAGTTTCTCGAATCTTTATTGAGCAACAATGATGATTCAAAACAAGATGATGCCAAAGAAACATTGGACAGCAGACCCTATATAGATGCTTTTACGAAATTCTAGCTACAGCAAGTATGTTTATACTACATGTAGTGGCGAGGCCGAATAAAGATAATATTGGTGATTTACAATTCATCACGGTATCTCTCATGAATATTTTATAGAATATGCAAGGAAGTTAGATTAAAGAGGTTCTTTCTTTAACTTCGCAAGAAGGTTCAGTAACGCAGTTTATCTGATATGAATTTATTATACATACTCTTTGCACGCAGCAGATGGATCAACATGCATGGAAAGAAGGGATCTGTATCACGACTAGAGTATGAAACAATAAAGTCTCGGAACAATAGAGTCTCAAAAAATTCACTATTATATAGGCCAATATCGCTGGAAAGCAGTGAGAAGAAGATAAATTTGATAGATCTGAACACAGGTATACGTATACGGTATTTGGAAAAAGCTTCAAGGCGCTAATGACAAAGAGAATCTAAAATTAACACTTGAATCAGATGTGCTAAATGTAGATGATGTATCTCTATACGGTAAAAACGTCTTTAATCTTTATGTTATTATGAATTTGTTTAAAAGCTCACTTAATAAAGATATAGCGTTGTTCAGAGCACTTTCAGGATATTGATATCCTGAAAATGCTTAGATGAACCAAGCACGCGTATAATCTAGGATTAAAGGATATATTTATTGCATATAGTGATAACCTTTATGATATGCCTCAAGCTATAAGTGCAGGTTAGCCCATAACTGAGCATCCGCTTATAGTTCATCAAGTTGAAATAGTCTAAAGAATGTATCATATAAGGAAAGAAAATTATTGGCATCACATTTAAAGATTATTTATTGCTCTGGTACTGAGAATGTAGCACATCTTGCGCTAGAACATTTTGACGAAAGATGGAATGAACACTATCCACATATCGCAAAAATCTGGTATAATGGGAGAATCTGGTAATATTCCAGCAATATCCAGAGAAAGACACCACAAATGTTATATAGTCAATTAATAGGTAAATAAGAAAAAAAATAAAAGAAGCCAGGATGTATTTCCTGATGATAAGTCGATTCAAAAAATAATCTTCTTATCGTGGACGAAAGCTCAAGAAAAGTCGACAATGCCTATCAGAGATTTTGTGATTCAAATATTTGAAATTGGCCTAACTCGACAATTGTTCATGCAAAATCTGCCAGACAAAATCACAGCTTATGTTGTTGAGACCATTCACCGCTAATTCTTCATATATTATAAGCTATTTACGCATTCATAGTCGTCATATCGTCGGCAATATCATAAGATTCAAAGAAAAATGGTGATATCTTTTTAATAAATCCACTTTTAGGCCAACAATGTTCCCAATTTGCTGTATCGTCATACCTGTCACGTTGATCACATAAGGTTCCAACATACCATACCCCATTGCTGGATTTACCGGTAAATACGTATTCAAATAAATCTGGGACATAAACATCAACATCAAATGAGTATTCTTTTTCTGTAATGGAAACGCTGCGGACGTTATGAAGTGTGTCTTGAGATGTTGGTATAACAACAGCAGACCATGATGTCGGTAAACCTCCGCCTGTATTGTAAAACATACCACCTAGAGTAACAGTTGAGTATTTTATATCATCTAAAAACGATAAATCACTTCTTGTAATATTTTGAAGCTGAGAATCTATACTAGCTTTAATGTTGTGGCACTGATCTGGAAAAGTAAAACAGTCAGCAGCTCCTTCGTGTGCTTGCATTAACAGACGTACATTGCTATCTGCTTTAGACAAAATTGACTTCGACTTGTTGAGGAATGTAGCAGCCAGTCCAACTGGGTATCCTTGATTAAAGAACGGGTAGAGTTTTTGTTGGTAGTATTGATTTTATTTTAATGTAGTGAACAGACTATCTCGATCTTGTATAACTTCCTGAGTAACTAGAGAGGGAGGAGCAACAAGACCTATATATTTAATTGATGCGTACTGACTAAACGCAATACCAAGAGGCGTTAACCCTGTATTATTTTGAAATGAAAACTGTGTTGAAAAGCTTTCTTTTGCATAATCCAGCAAACCACCAGCAGCTTTTACACAATCTTCCATCGCAGTAAGGCTACATGTCAGTGCATAGTACTTCCCGCTGCTATCTTTATTTAATATCTTGGAAAGCTGACTAGGGTCTCCTCCCACCTGAAAAGCTTGCATCATCACAACATTCTTCACGCTTTCTGCAGCGCTTATAATACTACCAAATGTAGCTCCAGCCTTTTCCTCAAACTCTTGTTTGGCAACAGAACTACTAAATTTTATGTTAATCCCCATGGCCAATAATGCAACCTGCTGATAAGAAGTAATGTAGTTATCGCCACATAACAATCCAAAATATGGGTTCTTGCCACCATTGTAAAAACCTTTACCAACTTCAGTTAGAGCTGCTTCACCGTAGCCTGCAAGTTGCACTCCTACGTTATTCGTGGCATATTCATAATAATTTAGTGAGAGGGAGTAATCCTTATCCTGTACAGATCTTAAATAACTTGCTCCTGCTTCTGCAGAAAACATAGGAAATTTTCCACTGATATCTACAGATATCTTAAGTTGGCTTTCTAAGTCTGAAAAAGATATTGCCGTATTCATTTGCACGTAAGCTTGCTGTCCAGAAGTAGATGACACAGTTGCGTTATAACATATTTGTGGTCCTATCTGTTGCGAATCGCCTGAATACCCAGCGCCTGCCATAATATTACCGCCATTGTATTGCACAACTTCTGGTCCTCCAGCCAAGCCTAGCTCCCCGTCTAATCTGGGACCCACATAAATCCTCATGCCGTTACTTGCCTTACGTGGAGCTTCTGATGTATTGGCAATACCGGCATTAGTATATATACTAAATGAGCGGATCTTCCTACCCATTATTTCTACTAACTCTTTGTAATACTCCTTTCCCTTCAAAAGTTTAAAGACGGGCTGGTTGTTTCTGTAGGAATTTGTCGTCACCATTTGCGAGTTACTACCGCTGGAAGAAGAGGTTGTCACCATACTCAATGGAAGAGTGTTTGCTGATGAAGACGGGCGTTGAATGTCAGATCTCGGTGGACGAGCTGAAGAAGAAGAGCTGGTCCTCATCTGCTCGCCTTGCATCGGAGGGTCGGAGGCCTGAGACGCCAGCCTAGGCATCACCACCACACCCTGAGGACGAGTTGGACTGATGACCAGGAACTTGCCTGTTAGAATAGGCGGTACTCTAACTGCTCTTAAGCGCAACACTCGAAAATTATTTTTTTTATGAACGTCGGTCAAATGCTTAAAGGTGTGACGCTAAAAATATATTGAACAAATTTCTCATGCGTGAAGCCTAAATAGTGACATAATATGACTCATGACAAGTACTTTACCATTTAAAATTTTGAATGTTATTGCAATAAATTTGTTCGTACGGGAAAAGCACTGAAACTCTTCGAAACCTGATGCCGATATTTGATTATCTCATGTGGCTTATAGTTTTAGATGTTGCAAATATAATGTAAAATACTCGTAGACTAAATTAAAATTATTCCCAAGCTGTGATAATTAAATGTTTAGTACCACAATTGGCCCTTATCTTCAAGTCACCTACCCTAATTTCTTAGCAATACTCACAGTCCGCCCATCAGCGTAGGTATTTGTGTCCACCTCACTGCCGGCCAGCGTCAGGACCTGCACAAATAATATGGAAGTTAAATTTGTTTGTTATTTAATAAACATTTCGTGAACGCAGTTATGGAACTCGGAAGTTAATTGCAGGGAATAGAAAATTGGTTTTGAAATGAAGTGAAACAAAGCGTATGTTGAATAATTTGCTATTAGTGTTGCAAAAAATAGAAGCGTATTTTTGATGGGATTTGCTCAAATTAATAGATTGCCATTAGTAACTCGAAAGTGCAAGAAGCCTTAAATAAGGATTACAAAACAATATGTTACGAGAAAGTATATCATTTTTTTACGCTGCGTGAATCAGCTCCAGCAAGGATTTAATTTACATTTTAATCTCTTATAAACCTCGAAATTAATATCGATGACGCTTCATAGACTAGACTTATTTCCAATAAATTAATTAAGTAAATTAATTATCTCCATTAAAAACCTCTAAACTAGACATATCTAAAATGTAGTATTTATTTATTATCATTTCGCTAAATTTTATTTACAACCAGTGCACGAGAGACAGCGTTTAATATTTGCATTGTAAATATCAGTTTTGCTCTGATGCAGAAAAATAATTCGATGTACGGGCTCTTCATACGAATTTCTCCCGCAATGCTCGGTGATTTTGTTCCACTTGAAATCTACGTATGTCTCATCAATGCATGTATCTAGGTATGCATTTATTGCTTGGATTTTTTATTTATCTAATACGAAACTTTCATTATATATAAAATGAAGAAGCGAAAAATATGAATATGAAGTTGAGTCGCTTCAACTTCCATGCGTACTAAGCCATGTTTTTGAATAAACAATGAAGATTTATTCAGAGAAATCTGATGATACTTCTTTGGTCTGATGGCGGCCGCTGCCCTGCACCAGGAGCGTCTCCGAGTCTCCCTCCTCCTGAACTGGTCATTGAGGCTCGTTGCAGGCACCTCTGTCTGATGGCGGGGCCGCTGCCCTGCACCAGGAGCGTCTCCGAGTCTCCCTCCTCCTGAACTGATCATTGAAGCACATTACTATTTTTTGCCAGTATTTGATAACGATGTTGTTTATTCTTAATTTAAGTGTTTCGGGATTCGACGAAAAGAAAATAGCTTGTCAAGCTGCATCGTTTCAAAGCTGAAGAAACTGCTAATTTTTCTATCCTAAAATTTTCATCGAAAACCCGAGGAAGAAAATAATGAAAGCAAAAAAAAAAAAATACGTTTAGTTACCAATTGCAAAGAAACTCCTGTTTGTCGAGTTGCTCGCAATGACTGTGTTAGTTTTTGTTTGTCAGATGGATACTTTCACCTAAATTCTTAAGGTTGTGATCAACTCTGTGGAAAATAATTTAAATCGTCAATGCGACGCTACATCAATCATAAAGTTTCGTTTATGAGAGTTAAATTCACGCGGTAAATTTTGTATTAATAGTTTTGATGTACATAAAAAAGCTTCAATTCTTGATTTAATAATCTCGCAAAATATGTGAGTCTAAATTATTTTTCGCGCTCATGACTTTACGAATGCTCCTCCGGTAGGAACAGCCGTCTTTATTACTGAAGTGAAGGAATTATTGATTCATGAATAATTTATTTATAAAACAGCACTCAGTGACAGCTACAGAACATTGGCGTATATATAAGCATTTCACGAGATGGATCCGATATAATTTGATATACAAATTACGCAAGGTGTCATCAAAACGCCTCAAGGATGTTGTCTAAAGTTACGTTTATTTGCGTGACTCATCGCCTCGGGTGAGTGCCGGCACTGCGCTGCAGGCAGGATAGGTTGAGGCTGATACTTGATTATTCGGGGTCAAATCTATTTGGCTAAATCATTTACATAATTTATCTGTATCAAAATGATGAGTGAACTTTTTTTGCATTATTATCACTTTTATTCGAGAAGAGTGATGCCAATGCTGTTTCTAAATGCCTAGAAGAGTAATAACAATATGCTACATTTAATTGTTGATGACAGTGCAGTGATGACATTGATAAATCCATATATTGAGGAGAGTGATGACCATGCCACTTCTAAATACTAAAAAGATTAATGACCAATATATTAAAGAATTGAGTCGCTCGGTTAAATCACCTTTTGAAGGAAATCGTAATCAGTTCCAGATAATAAGAGTTTTATGAATCGGAGTATTTTCTTGCCTGCAAATACGTATGATCCCCTCACTTTTGCCATTAACAATGCAGAATATCTAAGACCTCTATTCTTACACTAATCCTCGGAACTAACGCGCAAAGACCGCCTCTACCTGAACATCAAACGTACGCAGCGTCAGTTCGGCGTCAAGCTCTTCGACTTCATCCCTACGAGTTTCGTGCGTCCACGGAGCATCGCGAGTTCTGCGAGACGCGCCTCCGTGAACGCGGCACTTGCATTGTCAAACCCGTCGCGTCTTCTCAGGGCAAAGGCAATTAGGCGTCATCTTAGGGCAAATGCATTTAGACTTCATCTTGGAGCAAAGTTATCTAGGCTTCATCTCAGGGCAAAGGCGTGTGCCTGGCTTCTCATGTACAGTTGTTGTACAGTTTACAATTCCGACTCTATCTATATCAGAGTTATACATATATGAGCTGCTCTGATTTATGTGGAAGTTCAGGCCCCTCGCCGTGACGGAAAACATGTTTGTGCAAATACACGACATTTTTCTGTGATAAATTCAATCTATTGACGTCATCTTCATTTGTTTACACATACTTCCGTAATACTCTGAAAATCTTTAGTTTACTCCTTGGTCAGCTCCTATTTATGGTCTCCACATCTTCATGGGAATAAATAATAAATTTCAGCCTAAAATACTACTTAGTTTTTGATGCATGAAATGTTTGTTATGAGTGAAAGTTTCACAAAACCACGATATTATTAAATACCAAAAACAATGAAGGAACTATAGGTACATAATTGAACAATTGAAGCGCTGTGTTCTAATCACGCGGCAATTTCATTGTAGTTTTTCTCAGTTTCTCCATTATTCAAGGAGAAAAGGAGATAATTTTTCTTAAATTAGGGACTCATGAGCCCAATTTCTAGACTCTCGTGCCCCTTACAGCGACAGAACACATGTGTATGCAAAGTTATGCCTTTGTGCAATCTGGATTGATGCCATTATTTATTTACTCGTTTCCGTCATCCACTGCTGATCTTTGAATTACATCTTTGGCATTTATTATGCTCATGTTCTGCTCATCATTGTATGAATAATTATCAAATTACAGAATAAAATATCACTGAATTTCTGATGATGTACGGTCGACCTGATGTCGTCCGTACAGGCTTGCAGTTGTTTCGACTTTTGATATGAATGAAAGTCTTACATGCTCACGGTATAGTTTAATTACGAAAGCAATAAAGAAACTCTAGATATATAATTTGACAATCTAAGCGCAAAACCTCATCATGCGATATAAGGGTTCTTATCACTAGTCACTTTTAGCGCATTTTCTTTTCTTCACTATATAAGCACAAAGAGTCCATACGCTATATAAATGATCGGCGCCATGTAGACAGAAGTCAAATGGCTAAAAAACATATGTTTGACAAACATATATATGATTCTTAGAAGTATTGAAAGGTATAGGTTCTGCTGGGTTAGTTCAAAGAAGAAGATCATGCTCGCCTTAGACTTTATTTCAGCCACAATGGCCACGTCAAGGTATAATTTTACTTATATTACAAGGTTTACAATATTTACCGTAGGTATACGTTTAGTATTCGAGGTACAAGCGTTGGCCCGCGAGCTTAAATATGCCGATTAGGCCTCCATAGTTCATAGGAGGTTCATTACAGTACGAGCGTGCGTGCTGCCCACTGCACGGTCTGTATCTTTTTAAGAATCAAATCTTTCTATAGACAATATATGCGTTCACTGTTGAATGAACACTCCGAGACTTCCCGTTGTCAGGACTTGTAAATTGTCAACTCAGTGCCGTCCACGCAATTAAGCCACTCAGACCAACCATACTTTTGTGGCTATCCACGGCCATCGTTTGCAATCGCAGGAACTCGTATAAATTTAAAAATTAAATCGACGTGAAAATCTCATCCTCCCATTTCGAATATTCCAATTTTTTGCTTCAAAGCCTCTTATCGATCGTATTCCTTGAACCTACTATATTGTAAATTTAATATATCATAAGAAGGATACGATTTCATATTTTTAAAAATTATAAATTACAATGCATCATAATTACAAATCATAATTATCACATTGCAAAACAAGTCTATATAAAACATAATTTGGTTAGAACAACTAACGTATAATAGCAAACGCTGCAAGATAATCTACAAGGAACAAGCTTAAAAAATAATTTTTTTCTTACATCACTAACCTATAATCATTGTATATAGGAAGAAACATTAATAAAATTTCGTTATTGTGGTTATCAAGTCTAAAATGTTGAATAGAATAAGTGGCAATTGAAACAATTCGGGAGAACCCTTTAAATTACAACAACCATTTTTCTTGAGAACCATCAGCTAAGCCACCAATTCTATGAGCAAAAGCAATGGAATCTCAATGGTATCGACAAAAAGTTACATTCCAACAATAACAAGCCTTAATATTTCAAACAATTTTTGCTCCTCATGTATCCATGCTATGCCTATAGGCTAACATATCAAAATATCCAGAACGGCGCAACGTTGTTGTTTTCCCTGCTCAGAACATAGAACTTGTAGGGACATCGATATTCGTTATATATTTTATTGTTATTTTTTTTCCTCAAATAGTCAGCAGTCTAACAACCATCCGAACTTCTTAGAGATTGACTTTTTCTTTCTTCGTAAATTCAGTTACTAGTCATTTCACTGTAGCTTTGTCCGCCAACGTTTGGGGTGCGAACTTAACAATACTCAAATACATTGATCACAACATCCGCCTGGTTAATTACTCGTAGGTTTCCCTATTATTCGCACTGCCTTAGCTTATAGCGGGACCAATAGATCCCGCTATAAACTCACACTTGACTCTCATTTCAAATTTGTAAAAAACCCTTCGTTTTATA